CAGCAGCAGCCGCCGTCCCAACAGCAGCCGCCGCAGCGTGGGCCCGTCTCCCCTGGTTGGCCCAGCACCTCCGGAGGTGGTGGCCGTGGTGGCGGCCCGCGCAGCTCGGCGTCTACCGCGGCTCCGGTGCTGTGACCTGCCAGTACCAGCTTCAGACCGGGCCTCTCCGCGGCACTCTGTGCGCCGCCCGCACCCGACCGCCCACTGTTTCCGCCGCCTCGAGATCTCTTTCGTCGTCGCTTTGGCCCGGCCCCGGACCTCCCCGACTGGCACAGCCTGCTCCGCTAGGGCGTGCCGATATTTGAGTTAGACATGGATCAGATAGGTGCTGCTTTGCATGCTTTGTATTCTGACGCTTATAGTGTTGCTGGATCTTATTACCCTGTGTACTCTAGCTTTGGTGTAGCACCATTGTGTAGCTTAGCCTCCCCTGCTGCGTCAGGCGTAGGACTGCCTAGTTTGCCTAGCCTAGTCTTTGCACCGCTCCGTTCCCGGCCTCCGCCGATGCTTCGCTGTCCTTCACTCTCGACTCCGGTGCTTGCCTGCTTCTTCCGCGACCGCTCCGCGCTCACGCCACTTGCTACGCCTGCTGTTGTCTCTCTCGTTGACCCCTCTGCGGGTCATGTCGTCGCTCGCAGTTCTACATCCCTTCCCTGTCCAGCAGTTCCCTCGGCTCCCTTACAGGTCTCCACGTTCCCTCGTTCTCGAGGAACCTGGTTGGTGTCGGCTGTCTCCAGGACCTCGGCGTCACCACCACGTTCCCGGGGCACGAGCGGTTCGCTGTCTGTTCTGAGTCTGTCTCAGGTTCCCTTCTTGCGACGTTCCCCCGGGACCCGGTGTCCGGTCTGTTCACCCTAGACACTGCTTTCCCCCCGGTTGGTGCGTCCTCCCAGGTCGCTGCAGCTTGCTCGTGTCGGTCCCTCACTCACCCGTCCCTTCTCTGGCACCACCGCCTAGGTCACCTGCACTCCCACGTCTGCGTCACATGTCCCAGCACGGTCTTGTCTTAGGTCTCTCTGCTTCGCTCCCTGCCCTTCCTCCCTTGACTGCGCCGTCGTGCACGCCTTGCGTCGAGGGCCAGCTCCGCTGCTCCCCTCACTCCTCCTCGCTGCGCCCTGCTACTGCCCCCCTTCAGACCCTGCACCTGGACGTTTGGGGCCCTGCCCCCATCACCGGACCGCGAGGTGAGCGCTACGTCCTTGTGCTCGTCGACGACTACACGCGCTACACCACGGTGTTTCCCCTGGAGCGGAAGGCTGACGTGCCCGACGTTCTTCTCCCGTGGGTCGTACCTGCTCGTCTTCACCGCGGTCTCCCCGTGTTTTGTCCCCACTCTGACCGTGGCTGCGAGTTCGCCTCTGGTCGGCTTGGAAAGTTCTGTCGTGCGGAGGGCATCACCCAGTCGTACACGTTGCCGGACTCACCACATCAGAATGGGGTCGCTGAGCGCCGCATCGGCTTGGTCATGGAGGTCGCCCGTACCTCCATGATTCATGCCGATGCCCCCCATTTTCTGTAGCCGTTCGCTGTTCGCTACGCTGCTCACCAGCTTAACCTGTGGCCACGCTCCCAGCGGCCGCAGGTTTCGCCGACCCTCCTTTGGACCGGGTCCCCCGGTGACGCGTCTGCGTTCCACGTCTGGGGCTGCCTTGCTCACGTTCGTGCCTCTGGCACGGACAAGCTCACTGCCCGCACTGTCCCCTGTGTCTTCCTCGGTTTCCCCCTGGACTCATCTGACTGGCTTTTCTACCACCCGCCGCCTCATCGCTTCCTCCACTCTCGTGACGTCACCTTTGACGAGTATGTCTCCTTCTACCGCCGCTTCCTTCACCGAGGTCTCCCGGTTGCCCCCCCCCTGTTCCTTGCTCCCTCTCCCCCGGTAGCCCCTGCCCCTCTCCCGCCTCGTCCTGCCGCGTCTGGTGTCTCTCACGTCACTCCCCTCCCGTCGGTTGTCCCCGTTGAGGAGTCTGCCTACTCTGGTGGTACCCCCGGTCCGTCCTTGCCACGTCCCCCTTCCCCGGTGCCTCCGCCCCCACTGTCGCAGTCGCGGACCTCGCTGCAGCCGCCGCCGCCGTCGCCGCCGCAGCCGTCGCCGCCCCTGTCGTCGCCGCTCTTGGCCCCTGGGGGTGTTGGTGTTGAGGTGGGTGTTCGTCCTGCATCTTCTGGGGGTGCCGCTGGTGTTGGAGAGGGTTCTCGCTCTGGAGGTGTTGGTTCAGGGGGTGCTGCTGTTGAGTGTTCTGCCGATGGTCGTCCTGCCTCTGCCGGTCCGAGGGTTCCGGCCCAGCCGTCGCCGCCACCGCAGCAGCCGTCGCTGCCGGTCTCCGCTCTCCGCCTGCTCAACCTTCCCTCCCCGGACCGCGCGCCGGTGTCTCCCCCACCGCCTGCTGACCTTCCTGTCTACGGTCCTGTGTTCCCGCCGCCGGACTCGTCTCCGGCCCGTCCCCTACTGTGTCCCCTTCGCCGTCCCTTGACCCTACACCTCCGTCTCACGTTTGGTCTCGCCGTCCCTCCCGTGCTCGTCCCGTCTCTCCTGTCCTTCCCACCCACCCTATGTTGCTCTGTTCCCGCTCGTCTCGTCCTCCCCTCCTCCCGTTCCCTCCTCCCTCGTCCCTTGCTGTTGCACCTCCTCCGTTCTCTGACTACCTCCGTGTCGCTCGTCCCCTTGTCCCTCGGGTCCTTGCCTCTCTTGTTACCGACCCTACTGTTCTTGTCTCACGCCTTGACGCGCTTGTCGCTGCTGTCGCTAACTTCGCCTCAACCCGCCGCCTTGACTACGCTACCGCTCTGGTCTCTGACCCTGCCCGTCCTCCGTCCGTCGGGGGTGCTCCTGCCCTTGGCAGTGACGTCCTAGAGGACAGGCAATACGAGCTTGCTTTCCTCCCTGAGGCTGCTCCCCATCTCTGCTCCATGCTGTTAGTCCCTGAGGGTGACCCAGACGCCTTCGACATCCCGACCCCTCGCACCTACGCTGAGGCCACCTCGAGACCTTGGGCCTCGCAGTGGATAGCTGCCATGGAGCAGGAGATGGCATCTTGGAGATCCACCGGCACTTACGTCGATGCAGTTCCCTCGCCTGGGGTGAACGTAGTCGATGGTCGGTGGCTCTTCAAGGTGAAGCGCCCCCCTGGAGAGCCGCCTGTCTTCAAGGCGCGCTACGTGGCCAGAGGCTTCAGTCAGCGCGAGGGGGTTGATTTCTTCCAGACCTTTGCCCCGACCCCGAAGATGACCACTCTTCGGGCGCTGCTACACGTAGCAGCACAGCGCGACTACGAGCTTCACTCCCTCGACTTCTCTACTGCCTTTCTTCAGGGCAGCCTACACGAGCATGTCTACCAGCGCCGACCACAGGGTTTCACTGGTACCTTCCCCCCTGGGACACAGTGGCTTCTCAGGCGCCCGGTTTACGGCCTGCGTCAGGCTCCTCGCGAGTGGCAGGATACGCTGCGGGCCACGTTAGCAGACCTGCAGTTCTTTCCGTCCTCTACTGACCCTTTACAGTTTGTGCGTTCCGGCCAGACTCCATTCTACATCCTTGTCTACGTAGACGATCTGGTCTTCGCTACTGCTGACAGGGACGCACTGGCCTCTGTGAAGGCCGAGCTGCTGAAGAGACACACCTGCACTGACCTTGGAGAGCTGCGTCGCTATCTTGGCCTCCAGATCTCTAGGGACAGAGCAGCACGCACCATCATTCTGACACAGTCACGCTTGGTGCGTCAGGTCCTTCAGAGGTTCAGTCTTCAGTTCTCCTCCGCACAGCCCACACCTCTACCTGTAGACCATGGGCTCTCCGCTCCTGTTCCTGAGGAGCCCGTAGAGCCCAGTGGCCCCAACGCAGAGCTGGTGGGTTGCCTCATGTACCTGATGACTTGCACTCGCCCAGATCTCGCATACCCTCTCAGCATCCTGGCTCGCTTTGTGGCTACAGGCAGACACCGACCTCAGCACTGGTCTGCCGCTAAGAGGGTTTTGCGTTATCTTGCTAGTACATCGGGCATGGGGTTAGTGCTAGGAGGACGCAGGCCAGTGGTCCTTACTGGGCACACAGACGCTTCTTGGGCAGACGACTCTGAGACGCTCAGGTCGTCTCAGGGCTACTGCTTTAGCCTTGGTTCGGGTGCTATCTCTTGTAGATCCATTCGCTCGTCGTCTGTAGCTCAGTCCAGCTGTGAGGCTGAGATCTACGCTGGTGCCATGGCGGCACAGGAGCTCCGCTGGCTGACCTTCTTGCTCACAGACTTAGGTGAGCGGCCTAGCTCTGCCCCGGTCCTGTACACTGACAACAGGGCCATGATAAACCTGTGTCAGGAGCCTCGGCTTGAGGGCAGAGCGAAGCATATCCAGCTGCAGTACTTCCTCCTGCGCGAGCTACAGCAGCGCCGCCAGGCCCGCGTAGTTCACTTGGCCTCAGGTGCCAACTCAGGTGTGCTCGTGCGAAAGCCTCATTTGCCCGTGGCGAGGGAATGCGAACTACTTGACTTGGTTGAATTTTCGGCACCCTAAAATCTTGTGCGACTCTGACGAGCTTCGTCTGTAACCATGTGATTCTGGATATTTGCAGCTCAGGAGGTGAAGTGGTGGTGTCAGCAGTTCCCACGAGGAGCTGTGTTTGCCGGAATCTGCAGTCGCGGCAGCGCTCTCTGGAGTGCATTTTTTCAGGGCAACTCCTACATCCTTGCCGGTGTCAACTCCCCTGGATTTCAGGGGTTTCTGGAGAGCAAAAGCCTGCCCAAATTTTATCACAGCGAACATTCTGCAGTCTACACCGCTGGCCGATGTGAAGGCTATTGCGGGCGCTCCTGGCGGTAAATTTTTCATAAATTCGACCATCGTCCTCCCGAACCGAACCAGAAATATCAAGGATCAAGGGCCAGATCAGCAGCAGGTTGGAGTTCGGTGGGTGGTTGGCAGGCTCATTGTGGATTCATTTCATGGGTGTTGGCTTTGACCTAGATACCACCGTACAGTACGGTAGAGGAAACCAAGGGCTTTCCGCTGCCACTCCTGTCATGCCTTCAGCAAACCTGCTGTATTTACCCTTCCGACGGCTGCGAAACCTAGGTTCACTCCGCTTTGCTTGTCCCCAGTGTGCTTCTGCTTTCGCAGACCTGTTTCGCACTGAACTCGGTGTTCCCGAAAGCAGACGACGTCGTAAGGGAGACGCGGAGATAGCTAAACGACAGTCGCAAACATCCGCAGAGGTCGAACACCGTTGAAGACGGAGGAAGGAACGTAAAGGCCATCATTTGCGTTTCCTCACTGTGAGCAATCCTGCCAGCCTGGCAACCTAGCTGCACGCCTGTTATTTATTCGGCTCTCGCCTTCGCTTACTCTCTGACGCACGCGCTTAACGCAACAGGCTTAAGCGAGGACAAAGCAGCGGGGAATGCAGTCGAACGCTTTGAGCGTGTCAGATCCAGTGAATCCGGATCCTAGTCGGCGCTGATTGGTGCACTGCGCTGAGAAGTCTGGTAACGAGAAGTTTCCGCGAAAGAGTGGGGGTACGTGACAGGCCGTAGATGCGAAACGTCCTAGAGGCTTCCGTAATGGCTGATGCAGGAAGCGTCGAAATGCAAAACGGTGAAGAACGGTGGAGAGGAGCGGCGTCGGAAGGGGAGGGGGTGGAAGCCAAGCAAGGCGAGTTGAGTGGAAGAGAGGGGGAGAAGCGAGAGGAGCAGCAGGAGGGGCGGGAAGCGCGGGAGGACAACGAAGACGGGGTGAAGGGTGACGAGATGAAAGGAAGCGAGGTGAACGGCAACGGGGTGAACGGCAACGGGGTGAACGGAGACGGGGTGAACGGCAACGGAGTGAACGGCAACGGGGTGAACGGCAACGGAGTGAGCGGAGACAGGGTGAACGGAGACGGGGTGAGCGGAGACGGGGTGAGCGGAGACGGGGTGAAAGGTGACGGGGTGGTCGGAGAGGGGGTGGTGGGCAGTGCGGAGTCTCAGAAGCTGAGCATCGAGGAGGCGACGGAGCGGATATGCGCCATTGCGCGCGGTATCCTGTTCTCGGAGCGGCGGAGAGCGGGCGGTAGGGGGGGAGGTGGCGGAAGGAATCGCGGAGGCGGTAGCGTGGGGCGGAAGGGGCCGGCGGACCGAGGAGCGGAGGGAAGAAGGGAAGGGGAGGAAAGGAGAGAAGAGGAGGAGAGGGGAGGGGAGGAGGAGAAGAGAGAAGAGGTGGTGAAGCGGGGAGAGGAGGCGAGTCAAAAGGAGGAGGAGAAACGAAGAGAGGAGGAGGAGCGAGGTGAGCAGAAGAAACGAGAAGAGGAGAGATTACAGGAAGCGGGGCGAGACAGGGAGAGGGCCATAGAGAGGCTCAGGTCGCTGGCAGGCAGGCCGCCTGACAATTGCTCCGGGGCAGCCGGGGATCGCTCTGGGGCAGCTGAGGATCGCTCTGGGGCAGCTGAGGATCGCTCTGGGGCAGCTGAGGATCGCTCTGGGGCAGCTGAGGATCGCTCTGGGGCAGCTGGGGATCGCCTTGCTGGTGCTCCTCCTGGCGCTGCTGCTGATGGTGCCAGTGCTGCTGGTGCTGCTGCTGCTGGTGCTGCTGCTGCCGCTGTTGTTGCCAGCAAGAGTGATGATCAATATGATGACGAGGACGATGATAGTGGCAGTGACGATGACGAGGACAGTGCTGACGAGGAGAGCAGTCTGTCTGACGTGGACAGGATCTGCATGCTCGTGCACAGCGATGTCTTTGTGCGAAGGCAAGTGCCCCCTCCCAAACCACCTCCCAAACCACTTCAAACCATCTCTTAACCACCTTGAATGCCGCTTTTCTAGGGTGCGAAATACCTGCAGTCTCTGATTGCCCACCTTCCCCCCCTCTCCGCTAACCCCTCCCCCTCCCCTACTCCCCTCTGCTGCCACTCTCTCCCGCCAGGCTCTACCACATTTGCTACATTATACCCACCACCCCCCAACCACTACCCAACCTCCCCCCCCTCCTCTGCTCCCCCCTCCTCTCCTCTTCCCCCCTCCTCTCCTCTTCCCCTCTCCCTCCCCTTCCCCCTCCCCCTCCCCCTCCCCCTCCCTCTCCTCCTCTCCTCTGTCACTCCCTCCCCCAAGGCTCTCTACCACATCTGCTACATGGCCGAAGCGTTTGAGGCGCCTCAAAAATCGACTCGCTCCCCCCTCTCCCCCCTCCCCCTCTCTCCCCCCCCCACCCCTCTCTTCCCCCCCCCCCTCCCCTCCCCTCTGCTGCCACGCCTCCCACCCCCCAGGCTCTATCACATCTGCTACATGGCGGAAGCTGCCAGGAAGCTGGGCTTTGACAGGTCAGCAGCAGCGTTCGTCCCTCTGTGCCGCGGGCTGGCGAGTGACAGCGAGCCCGAGATCCGCCAGACGCTCGCCGAGCAGATCCCGCAGCTCGTGCGCGCGTATGCCCCGGTATGTGTGTGCCCCCCACCTTGGTACGTGGCTTGTGAGTCGGCTGACAAGGGGCTGGCGAGTGACAGCAAGCCCTGAGATCCGCCACACGCTGCCCGAGCAGATCCTGCAGCTCGTGTGCGCCTACGCCCCGGAATGCTCTGCACCCGTTTGTTTTGCCTTGCTGCACCCGTATGGCTCTCCTCCACGGCTCCAGTATGCTGCCACTCCATAGGGGCCTGGCGTGGCGAGTGACAGCGAACCCGAGATCCTTCAGACACTCGCTGAGCAGATCCCGCAGCTCGAGTGCGCCTATGCCCCGGTATGATGTATGATGTATGTGTGTGTGGCCCACTGTACATGCATGGCATGGCCCTCCCTCCTTGGAAAGGGCCTGGCGAGGGACAGCACGCCCGAGATGATGAGACGCTCGCTGAGGGAATCCCTCAGTGCGAGCCTATGCCCCGGTACGTGTTGTGTTGCCACTATGGTCCCACTCTAATGCTCTGGTAAGGCCCCATCTACCCGTCTATCAACCCATGATGGGCGCAGTGAGGTGAATCCGCGGCTGATGGACGCATGCCCCCCCCATTCATCCGCGTAGTCAAGAAACGACCCCCCCCCTTTTCCCCCATCCACCCGTTGACTTGACCCCTATCATCAGGCGGGCAGCAGGGCGTGCGGTGCGCTGATGGAGCTGCTGGGCGTGGCGAACCAGCTGCTCATGGACGAAGCCGAGGAGGTGAGAGGAGAAGAGGGAGGGGTAGAGAACGGTGGGGAGGTGTGAAAGGTGTGGTGATGGTGGTGCGCAGATGGAGCGGATGGGCGTGGCGAATCAGCTGCTCATGGATGAAGTGCAAGAGGTGGGGGTTGGAGAGGGGAAGGGGAAGGAGGTGGGGGGAGTTGTGGGGTTGGAGGGGGGGGGGAGAGTGGTATAAGATTGGAGAAAGGTGAGCGGGGAGGGGATGGCGGATGATGGGTGAGAGGTGAAGGGGAGGGAGAAGTGTAAGGTGGGGAGGATTGCTCGTGGCAATCCTCAATGCACTCCTCCCTGCAGATTCAGGGGACGATGGATGGAGGGGGGGTATGGAGGAGGGGTATCCACTATGGTGCTGGATGCTCTTCTGCGCCCGGCACTCCCCTGCCTCTCCGCCCCAGCAGGTGCAGATGGAGAGGCAATGCAGGGGGGGTATGTGGCAATGATGGCGTATGGGGCGGAGGAGGATGCAGAGGTGGAGGCCAGAGAGGGTGCTCGATGCTCTTCCACTCCTGGCTTACTCTTACACCCTTTCTTCCCCACCCTTTCCTCTACGCCCCAGCAGGTGCAGGTGGCAATGGAGGGGGGGTATGTGGCCATGATGGCGTACGGGGCGGAGGAGGATGCAGATGTGGAGGCACTGGTGCTCGATGCTCTTCTGCGCTTGGCATCGCTCCCGCACTCGGAAACCGCACGCCTTTGTGCCGCCACCGTGAGCCAATTGAGCAACCCGTTCTTAATCTTTCTTTCTATCTTACATCCTTGGTGAGTACGGGCTTCGAGGTCGCTACATTCGCGTGCACTATTGATCTCTCCCCGGCTCTCGAGGTGACTTTTGAGTCGACTCAAAAGCGTTGTGTGACATTGTAACGAGGTGACTTTTGAGTCGACTCAAAAGTCATCTCTCCCCGGCTCTCCTCATGGTCCACTCCCTCCCACGTTTCCACACAACCCATCCACCCCTCCCCCCCCCCCGCCCCCCTCCTCTGCCCCCTTCCCCTTCCTCCCCCTTCTGAAGGTCCTTGTGAGCTGTGCGGCTGTGGTGAGCCGGTCTCTCCTTGAGATTCCTCCCGGTTCTTGTTCCCCCCCTCGTCTGTCTGTCTGTGTGTGTGCCGCCTCTTTCTCTGCAGGCCCTTGTGTGCTGTGCGGCTGTCACAAGCCAGTCCCTCTTTGAGCACCAAGTGGCGTGTCAGTCCTATGCGCTTGCTCCTCCCTAATCCTGTCCCCCCCCACACCCCCCACACCCCCCACACCCCCCACCCCCTGTGTGTGTGTGTGTGTGTGGGCCGCGTCTCCCTTGGCAGGTCCTTGAGCGCTGTGCACCTGTGACAAGCCGGTCCCTCTTCGAGCACCGCGTGGTGCCACACCTCCTCGCCCTCGCTGCTGACCCGCACTTCCAAGTCAGAAAGGTAAAGTGCCAACTTGCTTCCAAGTCAGAAAGGTACGCTGTTAGCCAAAGATCATGCCACTCCTCGCCCCCCTCCGCCTCCCTTGTCTCTCATTCTCCCCTTTCTTCCCCTGACTCCGTTTCCCCGCCTCATTCCTCTCTCCCCCTTCGCCTCACCCCACTCTCTCCCCACTCCCTCCTACCCCTCCCCCACATCCCCCTCCAGGCAGTGGCACAGGGCCTGCCGCACTGCTGCCGAGCCATGGGGGGCAATGCTGCATGCCTGGACGGCTCCCTGGTGAGTGGATAACCTCCCCCTTGAAAGCACAAACTCTTCAAATTCTCACTTTCCCCTGCGTCGCTGCTCGATTCCCTTCTTCTCACGCAACCCTGTCCCAAATGCCACCGCCCCTTGGAAAACCATAATTACATGGGTAGGGAGAAGCAGTGGCGAAGTAAAGGCCCTGGGTGGGGACATGTTCCTAGCCCATGGTTGCAAACGTCTTTTCTCTGTTCCTCCCTCTCTGACCATACCCCCTCCCACACTCCATCCCCAGCTCCCCCTCTTCGCCTCGCTCTGTTCAGACATCTCCTGGGCGGTGCGAGTGGCTTGTGCCGAGGGCATAGAGGTCACGAGCTTACCTCATTGCCCTCTTCTTTGCTCTCTCCTCCCCACCCGTGATCCATCCCCCAGCTCCCCCTCTTCGCCTCGCTCTGTTCAGACACCTCCTGGGCGGTGCGAGTGGCATGTGCCGAGGGCATAGTGGCAGTGGCAGAGGCTGTTGCTCAGATCCCCAAGGGCGCCGCTGTTAGCAGTGATGGCGGTGGTAGCGGCAGCGGTGGCAGCAGCGTCGCTAGTAGTAACGGCAGCAGTGGCAGCGAGGGAAGCATGGGCAGCCAAGGAAGCAGCAGTAGTAGCAGCAGTGGTGGCAGCAGCGGCAGCAGCAGGAGCAGTGGGAGCAGTGGCAGCAGTGGGAGTAGGGGGAGCAGTGGGAGCGAGCGTGTGAGCAGCAACGGCGAGGAGGGGCTGGAGTCAGGGGAGGAGAGGGACGCCATTGGAGCAGCAGCTGCTGCTGAAGGAGACACGGCAACAGGAGCTGGAGGAGGTGGGGAGAGAGGTGCTTCTGCAGTTGCTACAGCTGGGGTTGAGACAACAGCAGCAGCAGCAGCAGCAGTTGTTGGTGCTGGAGCAAGGGGGCGAGAGGCCGAGATCGTACCTCTTGCTGATGGAAGCGGTTCAGGGAGTGCACGGCTTGAAAGGGAGATTCAGGCACAAGTGATGCGAGGTGGTGGAAGGAGGGCGGAGCGTGTTGGGGAGATTGAGGAGCTTGGGGATGCTAGTGAGGAAGTGACTGGTGTGAGTGAATCAGGTGTGACTGAGTGTCATGTGAGTGAGGCGGAATCACATGCAGCAGTTGCAGGCTGCAGGGTAGGGGTCACAACAGCAGACGTGGAGGGAAGGGGAATGGAGGAGGGCCGAGGTGAGGAGAAGGGGGGAGGGGAGGAGGAGGGGGATGGTGGGCGAGAGGAGGAGGGGAAGGCCGTTGGCGAGTCTTCTTGGGTGAGGCAGCGCACTCAGCTGATCGGGGAGCTCATGGGGCGACTGGCGAGAGATGTAAGAGCGGTGGGGTGCAGTGTGGTGCGGTGCGGTGCGGTCTGGCATGGTGTGGTACTACAAGTGGGGGTCAAAAGTAGGGGTGGAGCTTTGTGCAATTGGGGGTAACTAAACTCACCTCCCTTTTTTATCACCTTCTCGTGTGCTCAATTCTGTGCTCAATTCTGTGCTCAATTCTGTGCTCAATTCTGTGCTCAATTCTCCCTTGCGGCCAATTCTCCTGTGCCCACTCTCCCTTGTGCCCTCTACTCCTGCTCTCGCCACCCTACACCCAGCCGTCAGCGTGGGTGCGGGAGGCCGCTCTTCAGATGCTGGGGCCTCTGCTCTCCGTGCTAAGGGGCGCTGACATGCGGGTGAGGGGGGGGGGGCATGCGGGTGAGGGGGGGGGAGGCATGCGGGTGAGGGGGGGAAATGCGCGTGATAGCAGGGGGACGTGGGGGTAAGAGCAGGGGGAAGGGGGAAGTGGGGGGGGGGATCAGGGGGAATGGGGGCGGGTTTGAATCTACTCATATTGTCAAATGTTCGGGGCATCTACTGTCTGTGTTGCAGGGCGCTGGTGAGCCCCTCCCCTCACCCCACCCTCAGGACCTGACGCACGTGTTCACCAGCAGGCTAGCACTCCTCTCCCCCTTGCCCCACCCCGTGTCCTCCTCCCCTCCCCTCCTCCCCTCCCCCCTGTTCACCAGTTCCTCGTCTCGACTGATCTCTCCGTGCCCCTTCTCCCCTCCTCCCCCCCTTCTCCCCCCCTCTCCCCCCCTCAGGACCTGGTGCACATGTTCACGAGCATGGCACAGCCGGGGCCGGTGGATGCTGACGATGACGACGACCGCCTACCGCTCTACTGCGCCTTCAACTTCCCAGGTCAGGGCTAGCTTAGGGTTGGGGTCAGGGCTAGCTTAGGGTTGGGGTCAGGGCTAGCCTAAGGTTGGGGTCAGGGCTAGCTTAGGGTTAGAGTTCTGGGTGTAGGGTGTATGGACGTGTCCCTTTTCTGTGTGCCAGTTGCTTGCGGGTTTGGGGTGCAGTGCAGGGTTGGGCTCTCCCCGCTACTGCACCTTGAAGTTCTCCCCACCCTTCACTGCTCCCCTTCCCTCTGTGTGCTCTCCCCTGTGCGCTCCCCCCGGTGCTCTCCCCCCCGTTCGCTCCCCCCTGTGCCTCGTACATGCGGATGCTGCTGTGGCCATATTCAACTGCTCCTTCCACGCCCTACCCGTGCATCTGTGCGCGTGTCTTCAGCCCCCCACTCCTTTCCATCGCCTTCCCGCCCATAATCCCCCCTTCCCCCTTCCCCCTTCCCCCTTCCCCCTTCCCTCTTCCCTCTTCCCTTTTCCTGCTGCACATTCTTCCCATTCCCCTCGCCTCGCAGCCGTGGTGTTGAGTCTGGGCGCCTCCCGATGGGCCGAGCTGCACACAGCATACAGCCAGCTGCTCGCCTCCCCACATGTGAGTAGCGCCTCCCCCCATGTGAGTACTGCCTTCCCCCATGTGAGTACTGCCTCCCCCCATGTGAGTACTGCCTTCCCCCATGTGAGTACTGCCTCCCCCCATGTGAGTACTGCCTTCCCCCATATGAGTACTGCCTCCCCCCATGTGAGTACTGCCTCCCCCCATGTGGGTACTGCCTCCCGCAATGTGAGTAGCGCCTCCCTGCATCCCCCCATGGGAGTCATGCCGTGGGAGTCATGCCGTGGGAGTCAAGCCGTGTGAGTCAAGCCGTGTGAGTCAAGCCGTGTGAGTCAAGCCGTGTGAGTCAAGCCGTGTGAGTCAAGCTGTGTGAGTCAAGCCGTGTGAGTCAAGCCGTGTGAGTCAAGCCGTGTGAGTCAAGCCGTGTGAGTCAAGCTGTCGAGCAGCACGCAGCAGACAGCCAGCTGCTCGCGTGCTCCCAGCGTACGAGTCGTGCCCCATCTCCCTGCTTGAGTCATGTGGTCAGGCTGAATGCTTCACTCATTCGCCTTCTCGAGAGCCAGTGTTTTCAAAGCTCATTATGATTGCATGACATCTGACCGTCTCTGGCTTCTACTCCACTCCCTAGCCATTCATTCACACTTACTCTGTCTGCCCCTCCCCCTGCCCCTTCCCTTCTCCCGGCCCGTTCGTTTCGCTCTCCCAAATCCCTTTACTCCGCCTCTCCTCTCCACCAATCGCTGCGTGACAGCTGGCGGTGCGGCGCACGCTGGCGTGTCACCTGCATGAGCTGGCGGGGCTGCTGGGGCCGCGCATCGCGGTGCAGAGCCTGCTGCCGGCGCTGGAGTCACTGGTCACAGATGAGGACGAGGTGGGGGGATGGGAGATAGGCGGGTGGGGTGTGGTGTTGTGGGGTGGGATGGGGTGTGATGGGGTGGGGTGGGGTGGGGTGGGGTGTGGTATGGTGTGGTGTGGTATGGTATGGTGTGATGTGGTGTGGTGAGCAGTTTCTTGCGGGTGACTGGGGCTGTTGCTGTTGATGTATTGCCGTGCACCGACTGATTCCCATCCACAAGCACGTTGGTTGAGGAGGCCCGGCTTTGTGGATGAGGAGGAGTCAGGGGCTTGAAAGTGGTGAGCAGGTGCAGTAAGTGCTGAGCACTGAGCAAGTAGTGGTTGAAGGATGCTTGGTCCGTGAAATTGCTGGAGTGGTGGTTGAAAGTGGGGCGCATGAAGCCAGATTACTATCTGCCTCCCCTCCTCCCTTCCACTGTCTCTGTTTCCTGCATCCTCTTCCCCCCACCCCGCCCACTGGCTTTCTTCGACTCCCTCCCCTGTCTTCCGCCTGTTCCCCCCCCACCCCGCCCATCCCCCTTCATCCCCAGGAGTGCATGGCTGTAGTCCCCGCGTTCACTGCCTTCAGGGCGTGCCTGCCCGCCTCCCACTGCCCTCACAGCACGCCGCGTCGCCTCCTCCCCTCACCTCGTTCCCCTCCCCCCTGCTTTCCCGTGTGAGCCCCAGGTGCGCCTGGCCCTGGTGCCCACCTTCACTGCGTTCATGGCGAGTCTGCCCGCCTCCCACCGCCCCCAGTGCGCGCACCTGCTGCCGCGCCTGCTGTGGCGCCAGGGGGTGGCGCCCGAGGAGATGGAGGCGCAGGAGAGAGCAGCTCGGGCGGCAGCAGAGGCAGCAGAGGCAGCAGAGGCGGCAGAGGCGGCAGAGGCAGCAGAGGCAGCAGTAATGGCAGCAATGGAAGCAGCAGCAGCAGCAGCGAAGGCAGAGGCAGAGGCAGAAGCAGCAGCAGCAGCAGAGGAAGCAGAGGAAGCAGAGGGAGCAGAGGGAGCAGAGGGAGCAGAGGGAGCAGAGGGAGCAGAGGGAGCAGAGGGAGCAGAGGGAGCAGAGGGAGCAGAGGGGGCAGAGGGGGTAGTTGGAGTAGAGGGAGGAGAGGTGGGAGCGGGCTGCGCTCCAGCTGCAGTGGCAGCTGCCAGTGAAGGCGTGGAGAGTGGAGGCAGGCGACCAGAGGGGCTGGTAGTCACTCCCTTGAACCCACCTCCTGATACGGACAGCCGACGTGCAGAGGGCACTGTTGCTCAAGGCCCCACTAAAGTGGGATTCGTTATCAGTAGCGGTCTAAGCCAGGAGGCAAGTGTAGACGATGATGAGTATGTGGACAGCCCCCGGTACCCCCCTGCTAGTGCCCTCCTGGGTGCTCCTGGGGGTGCTGCTGGTGCAGATGCTGTTGGTACTGTGGATTCTGCTGGTGCTGCGGGTGCTGCTGGTGCTGTAGGTGCGGATGCTGCTGGTGTGAGCGATGGCAATGAGAGAGGGGAGAGGGCGGCTGGGACAGATGGAGAGGGGAGAATCCAGGATGGAGGAGAGGAGGGAAATGAGGGACTGCGAGGGGAGACAGGGGATCTGCACGGAGAGAACCCAGGAGCGGAGCAGCGAGGGGATGAGGGGGAGAAGAAATCAAGTGCCAAGGTGCGGGGAGAAGAGGCAGGATCAGGAGGGGTTAGTGGCTCGGTTGTGGGGAGGAGGGAGGCAGGGGGGAGGGAGGAGAGTACTGGGCTTTGGGCGAAGCTGATGAGTGGATTGGCTGGTCTCGGGGCAGGTGGTTTGCTGGGGGAGATGGCATCTGGGGCAGGCGTGGAGGGTGTGGGAAGGGATGTGGAGAGTAAGTGTGAGGGGTCGAGTGTGGGGGTGAGTGAGGGAACCAGGGAAGATAGTGTGAGTGAAGGGAGTGTGCATGGGAAAGAGGAGGGAGAGGCGGAGGGAGCAGAAGGAGCAGAGGGGAGACTGCAGGGGAAATGGGCAGAGGTGAGAGGGGACCTTGGTGGTGAAGGTGAGGGTGCACCTGAGGGTGATTCTGGTCGGGGTGATTCTAATGAGAGTGATGCTGGCACACGAGGTGTGGCAGCAAATGGATCGCATATGGGCGATTCTGCTGGTGGTGGCGGTGCGGCTGCTCCTGCTGGCAGCCACAGGGGAGCTGCAGGAGGAGCGTGCGGGAAAGAGGGGGAAGAAAAGGGACGGGAGGGAGGAGGCAGTGAGGGAGAGGGAGGATGGAGGGATGGGGAGGATAGAGGGAATAGTGAGAAGGGGGAAGGAGTGAGGAGAATTGGGGAGCAAGGAGGCAGCAAAGAGGGGGAAGAGGGAGGAGAGAGAGAGGGGGAGGAAGGAGGCAGCAGAGAGGGGGAAGGAGGAGGGGGGAGAGAGTATGGTGTGGGTGTGGAGGCGGTGTGGGACCGTGGAGGAGAGGGGACAGGTGAAGAGCCAGGGGATATGAGCAGAGTGGCAGCAGGAGAAGGGAACAGTGAGGCGGGCAGCGAGGGGGATCCAGGGCAGGACGGAAGGGGGAGCAGTACGGAGAAGGTCGGGCATGCACTCAGCACAGCACAGGAGGGAGGGGAGCACGAGCGTCACAGTGAACGTGTTGGACAGGGAGAGCACCAACCCAGAGCCAACCAGCAAGATGGGCAGCTACATGCCAGCAACGCGGATGAGGGAGAGGGGCACCCAACTGGAACGACGCGGCAAGGGGCGGAGAACTACTCTGCCAGCAGCGGTCAAGAGGGGGCGGAGCATGGGTATCCTCCGTTAGGCCCCCGCGAGGGGGGGAGTGAGCGTGGTCCCTCCAGCAGCGGGCAGCAGTGTGGGGAGTATCGGTGCCTATCAGAGAGCTCTCAGAACGACCCCCCTGCGAGCAGTGCGCAGGAGGGCGGGGAGTATCGGCTGCAGGTGCAGGTGGGCACGCCGGCGCCCAACACTGTGCGTGTCCATGTGGCGGCTGCTGACTCGCCGAGGCCTCTGGTGCTGGGCGGCAGCAACCCGAGTGCGCAGCTGAGGACCCTGCCCAGCCGCAACCGCCTGCGGCCGCAGCTGAGGCTGCCAGGGCGGGAGAGCAGCTGGCACCTGCGACTTGCTGCACTCAGGTGAGTGGTGCTCTAGCTGGCTGGGTCAGGAACTCCTAGTGGGTGGGGATCTCATAGTGGGTGGTGATCTCATAGTGGGTGGGGAATTTTTGGCCTCTGGAAAGGAAAGCTAGGGAGGACTTGCTGCCTCGTGCTCTCACCCTGCCATCTCGTGCTCTCACCCTGCCATCTCGTGCTCTCACCCTGCCATCTCGTGCTCTCACCCTGCCATCTCGTGCTTGCAGGTATGTTTCTAGAATCTCCCAGAAAATCCTACGTCTTGTGCTTGTCGTCTCATGCCTGCCCAGTTCCCGTTGATGCCTTTCTTGCGCCAACATTGATACCCCTCCCTGGCATGAGAAGAATGCCAAGTCCCTGGCATTCTTATCAGTCAGTCTGTCGCCATTCGTCTCGTGTCTTCAATGTTTTCCTCCTCGCCCTATTCATTGACGTTTACCACAGCAGGCCTCGGCTACTCTCCCTATACAAGTACGCCCCCTCCTTTTCCCCCTAGCTTCTCCTCCCCCACCTGCCACGCCCCGGGCATGGCTCAGCTGCTGCCTCCCAGCAGTGTATCCCTGCCCTCACACTTTGCCCCCTCCCCTCCCCTCCCCTCCCCTCCCCATTTGTTTCCTTCCACTCCTTTCACTCCCACGCGCCCCTCCTCTCCCCCACCAGCCAAGCCTCAGACGTGGCTCAGCTGCTGCCGCCCAACAGCACCTCCCTGCCCCTCCTCGTTGACCTCGTGCTCACGCTCTGCAGGTAACAACCGGTGCAGGTGATATCTAGTTCAGGTAACATCTGGTGCAGGTACTTTTGATGCAAGCGTCAGCCAGTACACATAACACCCAGTGCAGATAGCTACCGGTGCAGGCGATAACCAGTGCAGGTAACAACCGGCTTTGCTCCGCAGCTCCTGTGTGCAGGTCCTATCTAAAACCTCCTGGTTCCTACTCCCCTGCTCTCTTCCTTTATTGTGTTGTGCCGCATCCTTCAATTTTACTCCACACTACCAGGCCACAACCCCTTGCTGCTCTCCCCCTTGCATCACACACCCTTGCTCTCCCTTCTCTTTCTCCTCCCTCCGCCAACATCCCTTGCTCTCTCCTCTCTCCTCTCCCCTCCCCTCCCCGCCCCTCGCCCCCTGTCCACAATCACCCCGCACCACCCCACACCACCCCCCACCACCACTGCGACTCTGCCCTCCTTATTGCTGCGCCTCTTCCCAATGCCCCTTCCCCATGCCCCTTCCCCATGCCCCTTCCCCATGCCCCTTCCCCATGCCCCTTCCCCATGTACACAGGGATCGAATTGCCACCGTGCGGGAGGAAGCAGCCAAGCAGGTGAGGGAAGAGGGGGACTGGGTGATGGGGGAGAAGGGAGGGGGGGAAGGGGGAGAAGATGGGAAGGGGCGGGTTTCTAGTGACGAATTTCACATATTCTCACCTTAAGGATTCTCACCTGAAGGATTCTCTCAGCTTCGCCTTTCCCCTTGGTTCCTCTTTCTCCTCCCACTTCCTCCCTGCTCTCTTCCCCCTTCTCCCCTTCCTTCGCGTTTCTCTCCCCTTCGTTTACTTCCTTAGTTTCATTTGTCTCCTTCCTTTCCCACTCCCCTGCCTGTCTCCGCTCCCCTCTCATCTCTCCTCTCCTCTCTCCCTTTTCCTCTCATCTCTCCCCTCCGCTCTCATCTTTCCCTTTCAGGCTGCCAAGCTGCTGACCCTCACTACCTTGTCTGCTGCCACGTCAGCATCACTGCAAACAGCCACAGTGTCATCCGTACCTGCCACTTCGCCTTGCCACTCATCATTAACCTGCAAACCAGCATTTGCTGCCACGTCAGCAAGACAAGGGTCAGCAGAGCATGCAGACTGTGTTGACTCACGTGCATCCGCCGCGTATGAGCCTGCTGACCCCTCATCTGCCGAACCTCATTCTGCTGACTCCACATCTGCCGAACCTCGTGCGACTGACTTGTATGCTGCCGAGCCTCATGGTGGTTCGGGCTGCAGTGCAGTGTATGGGGATGGTGAAGCAAGGGGAGGCGATGGGGAGAGTGATGGTGGGGAGAGGCAGAGGAGTGGGGAGAGGCGGAGGGATGGGGAGAGCAGTGGCAACAGTCAGCAGGGAGCTCAGGAGGAGGGGGTGCACGAGAGCACAATGGCCAATGTCAGCGGCCACAGTGACCATTGCAATCACCATCGTGGTTCTGATGGTTCTGCTGACTCGCACAGCCATCGTGCTGTGAACGGGCATCATGACATGAACAGCCCTCAGCGCCACGATTGCCTCCCCCCTGATCGCTATCCTGTGGACAGTGGTCAGCGGCAGCACATGCGCCATTTGCCTGCAGATTCTGCTAATACCACACACCCCCGCTCTAACTCTTCCTCTTCCTCTCACACTCTCCCTCACACTCACTCTCACTCGCATGCCCATCCTTGTCCTGCCGCTCCCTCTGCTTCCCATCCATCTGCTTTGCACACTGACTCTGACGCCTTGGCGTCTGAGGCGCTCCTATCGGCCTTGGCTCGCCTCGCCACCAGCCGCAACTTCCGAGACCGACAAACGTGACTCCCGACTCCCATTCACCTGCTTTCCCGCTGTTTCCACTCCTTTCCACTGCTTCTTCTGTTCGCCGCCCCATTCCCCTTCTCATTTCTAATCCTGCTCCGTACCCGCGTACTCCCCGTAGTCATTCCCCTTCCTCTCTTCCGCTCAATTTCTTTATTTTCTATTTCAAGGCTGGTGGCAAGACACTTCCTCTTTGTACCACCCTGAGAAACTAAAAGCTTACCCAAGTGTCCCCTCCCTTCCCATCTCAATTCTCTCCCCCTTCCGAGCCTGCCTGCAGGTTCGGCATAGCGTGTACGGAGCTGCTGGACTGCGTCGGCCCGACCCTGGCAGTGCCTTTCCCTCCCTCACCATTGCAGTCCTTCCCTCCTCCCACCAAGCACACACACCCCTCCCCACACACACTCTCCTTGCCTACTCCACACTCTCTAGCTCTCCAAAACCAGGCCAACGCACACCTCCACGCATCCTCTTTCCTCCTCTCAGCAATTCTCCCGCTTCTCCTCCCCCTGGTCTATGTAAGCCGGCTCCTATCCCGCCTTACCTCCCTCCCACTCACTCGTCAGTTTCCGTTCGCATCCAATCACCTCATCCATGGGACTGCTTCGAAGCACTTGGACGCACATGTATTTTTTGCATGTGCAACTTGAAGCAACGTGTTGCACCGAACAACAAGACTTCTGTGTCCAAGCATGCGTACCTTCCGCCGATGCTCCCCTTCCTTCTTCTCACGCCCCTCCTCCTCTGCCCCCCCTCCTCTGCCCCCCCGCCACTTCCTGCCAGGACAACGTGCCAAATGTCAGAATACGAGTGGCTGAGGCTCTCTCTGCCGCCTGGCCTGCACTGGATGCCCTCAGTGTCACAGACCTGTCAAGAACAGCTGACATGTCAAGAACAGCTGACACCGGTATGCCAGCTACATCAGCAACAGCACCACCACCACCACCGCTAGCAGTGCCACACATAGCACCAGCGGCAACCGCGCTAGGAACAAACCTAGCAGAGCAGCTTATGTCGGGGGCGCAACCGCAGCCAATACCAGAGCAGGAGCAGGTACCAGCACCGCAGGCACGGCTGGATGAGCTGCGAGTGTCAGTGGCGTCTGCTCTGTCGCTGCTGGAGGGTGATGAGGATGCTGACGTGGCATGGACTGTTGTGGCTAGAGTGGCTTCCCCACACGAGTATGGGATGGGCTAATCGCTTCTCCCAGCTTTGTCCAGCAGCCTAACACCAAACATCAACACAAGGCTTGGCTTGCCTTCCTGTCTCAGGGAATTGAACAAATCTTAGTTGCTGGATGGTAGATCGATTCAATAGTTCACTCTTACCGGTATTGCTAAGTCAAGTAAAATGGTAGAATTTTCTTCCATTTGCTGCGACTCTGCTCGTCACAGGCAGGGACGCTCCCACAATGAGCATCTGAAAGTGCTGAAGAGGCACAATTCAGCTAGGGAAATTGGGCCTGGCGTTATGATGTCTACTTAGATTGGTCAGGAAAGGGTAATTGCTCAAGGATAAATGAGGGGAGAAACCGTATTCAATACAAAACAGAACAATACAAGCCCAACCGAAGCACAAATCAACCCACCGAAGTACTAGTATAACCAATCAAATAATGAAGCTCTATTTTGTACATAATTGCAGGGTCTTATCGGGATTTGGGAACTCCTCTAGTTGAGGGGCTCCATTGGGAACTCCTCGACGGGGCTCAGCTGCTTGGCGCGGTGGTAAGTGGTGTGCGCGCAATCCACGGCGAGAACCGAGCTCGACTCATACGACCGCGGAGTGCCGTCCAAAAACCCAACCCCCTCCTCGCTGTCAGCCGACACGGGCCTGTGCAGATTCGAAATCAGCCGCTGGAAATTCGCGGCGCGCGCCGCGTGGTCGGTGCGGTAGGTTTGTCCCAGCACGCCGTGCACCTCATCGGTGTGCTCCAATTCGACAATTCCGACATTGATGTGCGCCTCGGCGTCATTGGAGGTCTGCAATTTAGGGTTGGCCACGCGCAGCCTCAAGTCAAGCGCCACAAGCCCGTCGATGCTGAGGGTGTAGTAGTCCACGTCATAGGGCCCTTCCTTCTCCAGAGCCGCAAATCGGAGGGTCAAGCCGCCCTCGGATGTCACCTCGTCGCCGACATTCATCCTGGGGATCTCCTCGCCGTCGATCTCGATCGTCTTCATGAATCCGTCGCCGCGCTCTTGCTGCTTACCGCCGCGGGCCGCCAGGCGAAGCTTGTGGTCGGCGCCCTTAGCGAACCACACAATACCGAGCTCCTTGATCCACGTGTGCACGGCCTTGCCGTCCACCACGAGCGCGGCGTTCTCGGTATCGTCGCTGTAGTACCCCCTCAGCAGCATGTTCACGTGGAGGTCGCGATCGCTCAGCAGGCAGAACGCCTTGTCGGGGCGGCCGTTGAAGTCGAAGTGCGTGCCGAACGCGCCCACGAGATGCGGGTCGTTGACGACGTTGGCGCGCGGGTTGCACTCGCCGCCCGTGCGCACCTGCAGATGCACGGGCTTCGTCTCCGTGGCGTATTGTGCGGTGAGCTCGCCGCACGTGTAATCAATGTCATCGTGCACGAGGTAGCACGCGCCGTCCGTCTTCTTGCCGTCGATGGTGATGTCGGGGATGTACTGCCAGTACGTGCAGCTCTTGTACGCCGCGCAAGTGTTGCAGCACGTCTGGGGAGACGCCTTCTTCAGGGTCAGCGGGTTCCCCTTCACATACATCTCAATTCCGAGCTTGTTCTTCAGCAGGTTCGAAGTCTTCCATTTCGCGGGGATGCCGCCCTTGCTGCAGTTGGCGGGCGTGCACGCGCCTTGCCCGGGCGCGCCGAGGTCCTTGTGGCACTTCATGGCGTTCCACCCGGCCTTCTTCACGTCCACCAGCAGCATGCTGTCCGTCATTGGGCTCACCACCGTCGTGCCCTCGAACTTGTCCAGATTGCCCGCCGCCGCCGCCTGCTCGATGCCCTTAGGGACCTCCGTCGCTACGCCGTTCGAGCCTAGGGCTTTGTCGAGGGGAACTGCGGGGTTGCTGGGGCCTGTGGTGACGGTTTCTGCCGAGGCGCTGACGAGGAGTAGTGCTAGGGATGCTAGGAGAAGAAGACGCGCCATAACTGGAGATGTGCTAGGCTGCGTGAGTTTCGATTCGAATGCTGAATGCGTGAAAACTAGGGTGTGTCGAGTCGAGCTCTGTTCGTGATGTAAAACTCCGATGCTGCTGCTGAGATGAATTTCTGAAGGTGTGACTCGTTGCATTTGTAGCTGTGCTGATTATGATTTGCTGGGGAGGGTAGGTTTGCATGTGGTGGAATGAGAGGGATGGACTGGGAGGGACGCGGGGGAGGCGGTGGCGAGGCGACTCGAGGCGAGGCGAGACGAGGCGAGGCGAATTTCGCCTTAGTTTGTAGGGAGCCGCAGGTCAGATCGAAGGAGTGTACTGTAGCCAGAAGGTCGGAAACCTGCCGGATTGATCAAACAGAAGGCGCAGGTGCTATCTTGGAATAGTTGTTCTCCCTGGGAATTTCCATGAGAAACTGTCGTCAGTCAGAAATCTGGCCCCAACATGCGGCAAGTCTCGCTCATTGGTGGTAGAACGGTGTCAGAGCAGCTTGTCCACCCCTTACACCTGGTGTCCACAAAATGCCGTGCTCGAATCAGTCCCAATCGGCCTCCTCCTGAATACATCCAGCGCGACTCGAAAAAGTGTGTTCCAGTGTCGGGCTTCAGGTGTACGAAGTTTGATGTGTGTGTTGTGTATCACGCGAGAAAAAAGCAAGCCACCAGCTCAATATTTAAACAAATTTTATATTCATAACACTTGTGGTTTTACCACCACATTTTAGTAATTCCCAAATCCTGACATGGAATAAAAACATCTCGGCAACATAGAGAACATTGCATAGCGAAGGTACCGGTAATCCTAGATCGAAATAAAATCTTGTACACAACCAGGTAAAGCATGTTGGACGGTTCGTGTTGGTTGCTTCTCGTGAAAGCACGCTCACTGGTGTGCAAAGGAAAGCTGGGAAAGCTGTACAAGCTGACTCAAATAATAACACCACAGTGGGTCAACACAAGCTTCAAAATTCACCAAAAAGACACACAAGACCTGTTTCCACGACAGGCTAGGAGGAGTTCACCAAGGCGGTATTCCCCTGAGCCGCTCAATCAGCAAACCGCTAGTCGCCTCTAACCATGAGCCACACGAAGAGCAGCGGCGCCATGGCCAGGATCGTCCACGGCAGCAGCTGGATCAGCATCTTCTCCTGCTTCGTCTCCACATACTTGGTCTTGGGCATGTAATTCCCAAACCCGGACAGGAACATCCTGTACATGTAGTCATCAAACAGCGACGTCTCCTTAGCTTGTTCCGAGTTGGTTCCAAAGAGCGCCTCGGTGGCACGGCGCTTGATGTTGGGGTATGGCGCGCGGAACTGGATGAGCGACTCGTACAGGCTCTTGGCCTCGGCGTCGCGACCCAGCTTCTCCAGGCAGGCCGCCTTCTGCAGCGTCGCCTCCCCGTGGTGGTACGTCTGCTCGCCCGCCTGCTTCAGCACCTTGTTGTAGTGCGTCATCGCCGTCTCGAAATTGCCCTGAAACGAACGGTGGAAGGGAAAGCAGATATGTATGGTTGGTGCGCCAAGTACAAGCAGGCAGCCTGCTACAACACGTTTCTGGCATTCGTCACGGCCTGAAATGATCACATGAAAGCCACGTGGCAAGCAGAGTGCCACGCACAGCGCATGTGGCCAAGGGCGGAGCCACATGTGGGAGAATAGGGCTCGGAGAATGAGGCAGTTGGTTCGTGACACTGCTTCGTGCTCGAGCAACACTGCTTTCTGGTAACTAAGCTTGTGTGAGTGAATCGTCCCAGAACATTCCTTAGCGCGCATGGGAGAGGGCGTCTGGGGTTAGACGTGTAAGTGATAGGAGGGAGTGGTTGGGGGGGAGCGAAGGGGGAGAGGGTGGAGGGGAGTATAAGCGGAGGTGGGAGAGAGAGGCCATATATTTTTGTGGTAGGTAGGCCTATAGCCCGCACTGCAAGTTTTCTGTGAGGATTGGAATCAGATAATTTCTGAAAGCTTAACTACAGTGTCAGGGAGCTCCGTACCTGGTCGAACAGCAGCGTCAGAGGGCGGTCGCACCTGGTCGAACATTATCTTTCAGAACTTGAGCTCGTGGTACAGGTGCGCTCTCGCCGCGGAGACTTCTGAGTCGACTCAAAAGTCATAAGTGCGTGTCAGGGAGCGGCGTACCTGGTCAAACAGCAGCGTTAGGGAGCGGCGTACCTGGTCCAACTGCGGTGAGAGGGAGAGGGCGTACCTGGTCGAACATCATCTTTCCGAACTTGAGCTCGTGGTCGAGATGCGCTCTGGCGGCGTCCAGCTTGAGCTTCTCCTCGCGCTCTTTCAGCTCCTTCGCGATCTTCTTCTGCGCCGCCGCCAGCAGCCGCTCCTTCTCCTCCTCGCTCACGTCGTTCTGCGTGGACACGAGGAGCGGAAGAAAGGAGGAGGGAAACGAAAGGGGGGAATGAGGGGAACGGAGACAAAAGAACGTGAGAAAATGCGAGATGGGGAACCGAATCATAGCTTTCTCCTTCTTTCTTTTTTTGTTATGGTCGTAAAAAAGGAGAGACAAGATTATCATGCGGTTCAGTTCCCACGGGCTATGAGGCACCTGAAAACATCGGGAGCGAAGAGCAAGAGGGGAAGCGCACGGAAGACATACAGGATTGACAGGCGTTTCAACTCGTGTAACATGCATTTTTCGCAGAAATCTCATGAACATACAAGGTTAACATGCGGCTCGGTTCCCATGGGCTTGCCCCTTGCGATTCCGGTCGACCTCGGGCGTGTCGCAAGCGCGTCGCCACCGCTGATGGGCCGAGATGGAGGCGAGGCTCTGAGTGGTCGGGATGCGGATGAGCTCTCCGCCTTCGCCACGACTACCGGAGCGAGCGTGCGCTGAGGTAGTATCGTTGCCGTGCACGCCATGATGGGAGCGCGCTAGTAAGGCTTCTGAGCCTGCTCGAGCCTGCTTTGCTTAGGAAGCTGGTTGAATTGCTGGTCGGTTATTGACCCTGAAGGAATCACGCTGAGGGAGGACGTGAAGGGACACGGTACGCAGAGCATAAAGTTGAATCAGCAAGCTCGAATGAAGAAATGCTTTCTTGAGGCCTGGATTCTGCCATGAAATACACCATGGCAGAGCAGGCGTGCTGGTTGGGGCTGGCAATTGAGGGAAGTAGGTGCGGTGACAGATTTTGGTTAGGCGGGCAAAGCGTGTACAATGCCGAACACTTGTTTCACGAGTCGCTTCCGGAGCATTCTGGGATCGTTTCAGATGCGAAATGGAAACGATTGGTTGCCATGTTTATTTTAGTCTGCCAGTGTAGGAAATGCAGTGGCATCCAGCGGATTGCACCTGGCGTTCAAAATTACTCACGGAGATTTTCAGTGAACAGTAGAGCGGCCTCGTGACAGATCGGAGCAGGCCAACTAAGTGGTTCGGAATGCGGTTTAGCGTCGACGTGTTTATCCCAGCAAGAAAGATCTGGCACGAATAGTTGGCACGGATTTCCATGGAACTCGGAGAAAAAGATCCTCCCAGAAGGCAGATACACGTCAGCAGTGACATGATGGCAGATGTTTCTGAATCAGCACGATGTTCCCCACACGCGGTACTTCTAGGGGGGAGGACACACCCAGAATAGTAAAACTGCATAAACTCTACATTATTGAGTCGCTTCGTCCAATTTAGGGTTAGCCTAGCAATAAACATGTACAATCTGCCGTCAATATACAAAGCTAGAAACGAAATATTACGCAGCTGGAGGCTGAACAGCATATTAGGTCTTCCCCTGGCCTGGAATCAGAGAAATGCTATTGGCGCATCCATTCCTTACAGCATCATCTCTCCTGCATGGGTCCGAGCGTGCTATTGGGCTTGCCTGGCCCATGGGCCAAGGACGATCGCGAGCCGTCCGATCACTACACGACCAAGATCGGCGGCCTACCTGTAAGCGATCCTGATACCTTCCATGCGTTGCTCGACGGAATCCGTCTCGATATCCGTCTGCCTCCGTTCAGAACCTTCTCCTGATCACCCAGCGCACCACCCATGGCTGAAAGACCCGAAAAAGGGAAACCTTTTCTACTTCCCATGGCCGCCGCTTCTGACAATGCGGGTGTCGGCGCCATGGGAAGTAGAAAAGGCCCGCCGCTTTCGCTTCGCCTACAGCCCATTTCGTCCGCTCTCCCCTCTCCCCTCTCTCCCTCCCTGCATCCGTCCCTGCGCTTCGCCCTTGCGGTCCCTGCGCTTCGCCCTTGCGGTCCCCGTACTGCCCTGAACCCGTACTGCCCTGAACCCGTGACGGCTGCCTCTAAGACTCCTCACGGCGCCCGTCCGCCGCAATCCCAGCTCTGGATACCTCCCCCAAGCTCCAGGCGCTGAACCCTGAACCCTGAGCTCGTTTCTGTTCACCTGCCGCCCCGTCCGCACGCTCCCAACTGAGATATTGCCGGCGTTGGGCTTTGCGAAAGACCCTCTTCTTGCCCCAAGCGCCCCCTCCCCTCCCCGAAACCCTGCAAAAGCCTTTCCAGATCCTTTTCTGCAAGACCTTTTCTTGTGCATGGCGAAGGACTTCCCCCCTGGGCGACCAGCCACCGTCACATGTTCTCCAATTCTCTCTCTCCTCCCCCAAACCCACCCCCCCCCACTTTCCCCCCCCCCCCCCCCCCCCTCCCCCCTCCCAACGCCCCCTTCACCCCCCTCACCCCCCTCACCCCCCTCAACCCCCTCACCCACCTCACCCCCCTTCCTTATTGCCTGCTTCTCCCTGCCTCCGCCTCTCGCCCGTTCATGCGTCAGGACTGGCCCCCCTGGGTGGCTCACCCACCGCCGCAGCTGCTCAAGTGCTCCCTGTGCGATGGGCCGCTCTCCCTCGTGCTGCAGGTGCGTGCGGCGTGTAGTGTAGGGCAACCAGGTGTGTGCGGCGTGTAGTGTAGGGCAACCAGGTGTGTTCTCACGGGAGATTGCTTTTCCCAGGTGTCTCTACTGCTCATCTCGCTTTATTCCTCCGCGCACTTGTCTCTTTCCGCACGTCCCTTTTGCTGCTCTTCTAGCTTTATTACTGCCATCCCTCACCTTCTCCTCCCCCCAATCCGCCTTTCCCTTTCCCCTTGACAGTCCTTTCCAGTTCCCCTTCTCCCTCCCGCCCCCCTATCCTCACGCCGCTGCTCCGCTCTCCTGTGAGCGTTTCAAGCGCCATATTTTCCTTTTCTCCTTTCCCTTTCCCTTTCCCCTTCCCTCTCCCTTTCCCTTTCACTTTCCCTTTCCCTTTCCCCTTTCCCCTTTCCCTTTCCCTTTCCCGCTCCTCAACCTGCAGGCTTATGCACCGCTCTCCCTTCCCTCAGCAGCAGATGCAGCAGCAGCAGGGGTGACACGTGGCAGCAGGCAATTGGAGGAGCGGGTTCTCTACATGTTTGCATGCGCCAATGGGGGAAAGGAGGGGGAGGAGGCTGCTTCCGCGCCAACCCCCCTTGGGGACCTCTCATCTGTGTTTGGGGACGTGGTGGTGGGGGAAAGCGCGGGGGCAGGGGGAGGGGGGGATGTGGGGGAAGTGGCGGAGGAACTTGGGGGAATGGAGCTGGGGGAGGAAGGCGGAGAGCAAGAGGGGCAAGGGGAGGGGCAGCAGGAGGGGGCGCAGAAGGGGACGGGAGAGGAGCGAGGGGAAGGGAATGGGCAGCAGGAAGGGGCGACTCAAAAGTCACCTAGGATGCATTGGGTGAGGGGAGGGGAAGGAGGGGCGGCAGGAGGTGGGGGTGGAAGGAAGGGGCCGTGCGCTGCACAGGCGGAAGGGTAAGGGAAAGAGTTGGAGAAAGGTTGCTGAGGCGCATGATTGTTGCTGAGGCGCATGATTGTTGCTGAGGCGCATGATTGTTCCTGAGGGACAAAGATGCGCAGGGGGGGGGAGGAGGGGTTTGTGCATTGGAGGGTAAGGAGTGTGTTGGGGGTGGGGAGCATGGTGTGGGGAGCATGGGATAGGGGGAGAATGTTTCGAATGGGGTGTGCGTGCATCAACAGAGTGTGCATGTCGCTGCCAATGGGTGCGGGGGAAGATGCGCATACTTTTGCACGGTGGTCTTGCTTGGGCTTCGTTCTTTCCTGCATGCAGGCGCCTCTGTGTTGCGACAGGCTGTGCTACAAGCGAAAGGCGCCGCTGGTGCGGCCGCAAGCAAGAAACGCAATGTGGAGGCGTTGCTCTGGTTTTTCCCAAGCAGAAAGCTAATCAAAGCATCGTTCACCGTAGCAGCGTTCGTCAGAGCTAGTCGCATCTCATGCAGGGACGTTTACTCTCAAAGCTGAGACCTTTCCCCGTTTTTCCCGTGGCCAAGCTCTTCCTTTCCCAGTTCTCTCTCTGCTCTCGTCATTTATTCTCTCCGCCCTGCTCCCTGTGCTCTTGTTCTATCCTTCCTCACCTCCTGTTGCCCTGGTCTCTGCAGGTGGCGGATCATTCGCATGCAGCAGCTCCCCTCCCAGCAACCGCCGCCACCACCACCAGCACCAGAACCGGCACAAGCAGCAGCAGCAGCAGCAGCAGCAGCAGTGGCAGCCTCCACATGGGCAGATGCGAGTCCCTGGGATGCTGGCAGCACAGCAGCGGGAGATAACTGGGGGCTTCCAGACCCAGGCTCAGGTGCTCCAGGTGCTCTTTCAGGCGTCTTTGCCACACCAGGACAAGATGTTGGTGTGGTAGGAGGAGGGTGGGGCACCGGGACATGTGACAGTAACGAATTCGGTTCCACATTACAAGACGCGCCCCTTTCCTCACTAGACGCTCTGACAGCGTCAATCAGCGCCGCCGCTGCCAGGGCGGCTGCTAGCACTGTTGTGGAGAATCATGCAGTGGGGGGGAGGAAGGGAGGTGCAGGCAGAAAAGCATCCCCAGGCGCAGCAGCAGCAGCAGCCGCACCAGTGGCATCAAGTACGAGTGGCGCAACGCCAGCTGAGACTCTTCCTCTCCGTGTGCTGCCGTGCTTCTACCTGTTCTCCGAGGACGAGGAGGCGACCAGCAGAAGCAAGAGCAGGGGAGCAGCGGCCTCACCAGCAGCAGCAGCAGCGGCAGCAGCAGCTGAAGCATGTGGCTCCATAGACAGGGGGAACGGGCTGGCAGGGATGCAGGTGGAGGGGGGGGTGGGGGAGGGCGAGGCGTGGGAGGGCGAGGGGTATGAGTATGACCAGGCGCGCACCGTGGGTCGGCCGTACCTGAGGTTCAAGAAGCGGCTCGACAAGCACCCGGAGCAGTGCGTCAGGTGCGGTTGACAGGCGTGTGTCAGGTGTGTGTCAGGTGTGTGTCAGGTGTGTGTCCGCTGCTCCTTTCCCCTCCGTCTCACAGCGCCCTCTGCCCAACGAGGTACCGCTTTAACGGCCAGCCCATCCGGCCTTGCGCCCCACGCCCGCACCTCCCACAGGCGTCCAAACACTGCTCTTGCTGCAGCACTCCCCGCGTGTGTTTACGCTGCAGCTCATGCCGCTGCCTCTCTTCCCCCCCATCTCACAACTCTCCCTGCCCAACCAACCAGATACCGCTTCACCGGCCTGCCCCTGTGGCTCTGCGCCCCAACACCCACCTCTCGGAGCCGTATGAAAACTGCTCCCTCTTCGGAGCCCCCCGCGTGTTTGAGCTGCAGCTGATGCCGCCGCTGCTCCTCTTCCCTTTTCCATCCATCCCCACTCCTCCAGGTACCGCTTCAACGGTCAGCCCATCTGGCCCATCGCCCCACCGCCGCACCTCCCACAGGCGTCCCACCACTGCTCGTTGTGCGGCGCCCCCCGCGTGTTTGAGCTGCAGCTGATGCCGCCGCTGCTCTTCTTCCTCCTGGAGGCGCTGAGAGAGCGGCAGGCGGAGGGGTCTGAGAGGAGCGGTGGGGGTGGGAAGGGGTGGAGGGCGGTGGAGTATGGGGAGCTGGGGGAGTGGGAGTGGATGACTGTTGCTGCCTTCACCTGCTCGCAGGTGAGTGTGGTGGGGGAGGCAGGGGTTGTCGGTGACGAAGTGGGGGAATGATGGAGTGAGAAAAGCAGAAAAGGAAATGGTACAGTGAACAATGATAAGAGGGAGAATGGTGGATTGGAATGGAGTGGGCTTGGCTGCGGATCAGAGCGTGCAGTGGTAGGGGTGGGAGAACGTAGACAACTGCTAACGAGTGTGTATGGTTGATTCAACTTCCTCATCTCCCCTTTTCCACACAGGCTTGCGATACAACCGATCTGGTGCACGAAAACGGGAATACTACGACACATCTGGCGCATGAGTTAGGATATGGTCCAGCATGGCTGACTGCAGAGGAAACCATTGTGGTAGTCAACGACCTGTAGATCTGGACCAGCAAACGTCAGCCCCAACACAGTTTGTCTATCATGAGACCTCCTGTAGTTGAATCCAACACCTTATGTAGACTTAGCCTATATTTTATGCGGATGCAGTCTTGCCGGTGATGTGTGACTGAACTCATACCTAGCATGCAAGCAATGTACATGAGAGATTGAATCGGAAGCGTGCATTGTGATGCCATGCCAGTCCTTCGTGTTCCAGCCTTTTATAAGAAATGGTAGACAAGACTGTTACGAACAGGCCCCCAAATTGGTTTTGGGCCTGTCTGATTCGTCAGAGTCCACTGCCTTCCCTTGGTATGGGTGTCAGAGTTACCTCCTTGAAAAAGTCTGAAAAATCAGAGTAGCCTTCGATTTTTTGTCTAACCAATCAGAGTCATAGCCAAACTTTTGTATGAGCGTTTTTTATGGTTCTTCATTAGAGAATGCACTACATTTCAATACATACACGGAATCAGTCAATATCCTGCATATCCTGCTGAGGCGCTGCCGGCATATCATCATCTACTTTATCCTTTCCCTTCCTCCTACTACTAGCCTCGGGCAGGGCGTTGCTAAGGAGCTTCCTCTTCTTATAAGCCTGCCAGATGGTGACCACCTCTTCCCAGTCGGGGTCATGCTCTAGCTGCGACATGCACATCAGATCTCCTAGCCTAGTATCCTTGAGAGCCCCCCGCAGCCAACTCTTGATGACGTTCTGGCGGGAGAACCCGCGATCGCACTCGACAGTGCTCAACGGAAGGACAGCCACCGCCACCCACAGGTTGACCAGGTTGGGGTAGCTGTCCCTCCAGTCCTGCGTCTTGAGCATGGCGCTCAGCCCCGCGTGGAATGACTTGTCCGCCTTGGGAAGCGCAGCAAGGACGGGGACGAAGTTGCGGAGCTCGCTCTGGGCTTTGCGCTTGTCTATACCTGCTCAGACAAGGGCACACAAGGAGAGGGAGAAGGGTTGGGTTATCAAAAACAGTACACAGGGTTTAGGAAAATATATGTGTCTTGTTTCAGATACATTGCCAAAGGGATACTGAAAGGAGTAGATGGTGATTCACGTGGCAGAATCTCGTCCCTGTCTTCAGCGCAGTAGATGACCACGAGCGAATTGAACCACTCGAGGCACTGCGTCCTCCGTGCCTGTCGGTCCCAGTTGGGCGGCCATGTGTCGGCGCTGAACAGGCGCGCTCCCGACAGCTGCCGCAGATCACCTAGGTGCTCGTCGAGGTTGCGGACCAGGCCCTCCGCTAGAGCCATGCACGCCACGACAATCCCATCGTGGTCGCTGGGCCCCGGGTAGTCCTCTTGGGGCTCTTCGTGCAGCTCGAAGGTGAACCGTGAAGGTCGGCCATCGGAGTCAATCCCCTCCACTGTCACCAGCTTGGACTTGCCTGGCCCGTGCTTGGCGAGGAACCGCGTCAATCGATCGTTGGGCCCGCCAGTGAAGTCGTCTCCGCAGTCCACGTAGCGGCTCTCTAGCAGCGAGGTCGTGCGGATGATCTGCGCGTGCACCGTTGTGTAATCCAGCTGGTGGGTAGGGGGGCGAGGAGAGGTAGGGCATCACAGACGGATGCGTGATTAAGGGACGAGCGGCAGAGACAAGCAATATCGACATGCATGCAAACACAAGCATTTAACATATTTACCTCCTGCTGCTGGAAGACCTTGTTGAGGACGTTCAGCAGCTCCAGCACGTCGACGAGGAACATCAGGAGGAGCCAGAAGCGGCAACTGGTGACGAGCGCGTACAGCTTCGCGTCGTACTCCTGCAGCATGACCACGATGGCTGGTAGGACCTTGACCAGGCGGATGACCGCATCTCCGCGCGACAGCCAGCGGATGTTGTGGATGCCCTGGAGCTCGAGGTTCGTCGACATGAACACCTCCTAGAGCTCCATGAACCGTTGATGCCTAGGGTTGGAGCAACCAAGCACCTCAGCGATCTCGCGAATGATGTTGTCCACCATGCTGAAGACAGGGATCTCCTCGGCAGCAGCCTTTGCCGCCAGCGCCTCTCGGCAATGGGATAAGGAGATGAGATGCAAACTAGGAAGCAAATTAGGGATTGGAATTATAAACAAAACAAAAAGCAAATATACATGACATGCACACATCAAACGGATGACGAACCGATGGGCAATGCAATGGCAAGAGACAAGGTGCGGAACGCGAAGACAAAGGCGGGCCACAAGTCCAGAGCGCGATCCCATCATGACGGCAGCGTCGTCAGTGCTTATGCCAGAGATGCGGCCGAGGTCGACGCCAATCGCCTGCAGATGGGACAACAAGAGGGCGAGAAGCGATGCCGCATCCACCTTCTCCACTGTCAACAGAGCCAGGTACTCGGTTACAAGCCGCCCTTCCCGGATGAACGTGGCAAACACGATCATGTGCTTGCCACGGCAGCGATCGGTGCTTTCGTCGAGGCTCAGGCCAATGTAGGGACTCGCCAGCAGGTGTTGGAGTTGAGCCGTCTGCAACCACGTTGCCGTCGCTTGTGTCAGCTCGCCGAAGTCGTACCTGTTATATGACATGCACAAGCCAAGTTGTTGTACGTTACATATGTAAAGACCAAACAGAGAGAAGTTCATAGTCACTGGAGTTCTCACCAGTTATAGTACTTGCCGTAGGCAGACTTCGGGAAGCCCTTGAAACTGCGCGATGAGAGGTATCGCACCAAACGAATCCATGTTTCCATGGGTTCGTTACACTTGGCGCAGAAGAAGAGGGAGTCGAGCATCGCGAGGACTCGCTCCTTCTCTTCGTCGACCGCGCGAGGATGCTTATCGATCCATTGCTGGTTCGACGCTAGTTGCAGGAGATCGTCTAGGCCGGGTGCGCAGCCTAGCCACGAGGCCGGCTTCACACTGGCACCATCGGTGCTGATGCCGCAAATCTTGTTGAGGTCGACGCCTTGTGACTCGAGGTGGGTGAGTAGCACAGCTTGCAGAGACGCCGCATCGCACTTCTCGACGGTGAGATGCCCGAGGAACTCTGTCACAACTGTCGTGTCGCGGAGGAAGGTGAGGTAAACAATCAAATGTTTACCCCCCCCCCGGTGGTCGGTTGACTCGTCGAGCTGAATGCCCTGGAATGGTGAAGCCCTGATGTGGCTCATTTGCTTAGCGCGTAGGTACTGTAGGTAACGATATTCTCCACCACCTGATTGAAGCCGTACCTCCGCAGGCGTATACATATATAGTTAGTCTTAAACCAAGAGAAGAACCAACTCAGGAGAAACCATGTTCATAATAAACGGTCACGGCTTAGTAAAACACTTACCCGCTCTGATAGGTACCATTGTCCTTCACTGGCAGGTCTGGTGTTTCCTGCTCTGCCATGAATTGGACAAGTGAAACAAACAACAGCACAATTGCCACGAGGCGATTCAGTCGCTTTGCCTCATCGTCCCAATTGTTGAAATCGACGATGGACTTCTGCTTCGCGTTCTTGCCGTCCTTCTGCTCCTTCCACGCTATCGCCACCTCATGCTTTTGACCGTGGTGTGCTTGCGCATCGTCTGCTTTTGAATATGGATGTCGCCTTCGTCGTTGCGCCCATACTGGTAGCTGGGTTCGTTGTTGTACGCCATGCAGATGCTACACGTCATGCATGGACGCCCCTCTGAGGTCTCATAAATCAGCAGCCATGGGAAACACCGCTGCCACTGCTCCTTAGCTTTCAACTGGAGCTCAGCCACTGTGAGGGGAAAGGGACCATCGTCGTTGTCGGAGTTGGCTGGAGATGCTTCGGCAGAGCGGGATCACACATAGATGGAGGGTGTAGACTGAGCCACCGCTGGTCGGCCAAAACTAAGCTTGCGTTGACGACACTTCTTTTTGCCAGGGCCGCGGACAGGAAGGACAAGACCGCGCGTCACGCGTGAAGGGGAGACGGCTCGCACGGTCGAGCAGCCAGTTGTTGACGATGGGATGGGTGAGCTCGGAGCATCACATGTGGAGTTTTCTTTGTCGAAGAAAACCCAGGGCTTGTTGTCTACTGGTGGGAGAGGCGAGGGAGGTGCCTCACCCACGGCAGCAATCGACGCATCGCCGATCACGGCTCGGTTCAGCGCGCCAGTGAGGAGATCTAAACTACTGACAATCATAGGGGTTGAGCCAGGGAGCTCCGAGCCTACATCTGACTGCCTAGCTGGGGAGGGGCTCGAATGCACTCTCTCTGACACCATCGCTGCCTAGTCACAAAGCTAGAGGGCGTCTAAACAGGGTGTAAGCCGAGCAAGACTGGAGCCATGCTAAGGGGGATGGAAGAAAGACGTGGAGCAGGAGAAGTGTCTACGAGGCTTTTCCCCTGGTGCCTTTACCTTGAGGCGCCTCGCCTCGCTGCAGCATGGCGAGCGAGGTTGCTGCATGGTTACGAAACACCTTTGCAATGTTGGACCGCGGTGGGTGGCTTTCCCGGCCGCACTAGAGTGCGCTGGCACATTGCTGCGAGCCTGAAGAAGCAAGGAAGCTGGCAGCCGTGCAAGTGACGCACTAGCGGACAAGTATGTGGCAGCAACCTGAGTCAAGTATGCAGTGGTAGTCGCGATGCGCATGAAAATCAATGCACCTGCCCACCGACCACGACAAGATGGCGGAGTGTGGGCCAGTGGGCAGGTGACCCATTGGCACAGTGTGATAATGAGCGAATTCGTCGCTGTCATACGAAATTGTATGCGTTATCTGATATTTCAGACGAAAAAATACACCAAGTATGAACTTTCAGACGAAATCTTATGATTGAGATGGACAATTAGACGAAATAATTCACCTTGTAAAAAAATCAGATGAAAGTAAAAAAACCGGTCTGATTTTTAGACCATGAGACGGATTTCGTCTGATATCTGAGATCTTGGTCGTTGATTGTTGACCGACGATCGAACAGACTGAGATCAAGGGTCCGACACTGTAATTCAGCGTATGCAGTTAGCCGAATCGTGTGCGGTTACCCGACCGAGAATGTACCCCTGCTAAGTGCATCATTGTGAAAACTTGCTTAGGTCCTCTTGTAAGGGCATCGTGCTTCATTTCATATGGGTAACATACATGATCCTCGTCCAACAAATGATCGTACACGCATAGTCGGGTGGGTGGGCAGGGAAATAGAACTAGAGAAATTAGAAATCAAGAACGTGGGTGAGGTCAAATAGCCTCACCTCCCTCCTTTGTAGGCAAAAGAGGGTGAGTTGAGTAGCCCTTTGATGAGGCTACACTTTCACAATTCACATTTTTAGAAAGCGTTACACTCTTTTTAAATAATTACATATTGTGAAAGCTTGCTTAGGTCCTCTTGTAAAGGCAGCATGCTTCATTTCATATGGGTCTTCTGAGACGTGCAGAATGGGTCGGACGTGTCGTTCGATAGATAGCTGGTGCTGGTTGAGCGTGGGGGTGGTGGTTGCGTCTTGGCGTTTCATAGAGGCCTGAAGGAGTTGGTCTTGTGCAATAGTGACATAGAGCTCCTTGGCGTTGTCACTATGCTAGCGGCCGTGTCGCTTGAACAGCCGATCGGAGATCCCCAGGTTGGTTGGCGTAGTTGCTGCACCTTTGCAGAAGGAGTGTGTACCGTGGTGGGTGCAGTCAAGGCCGGCCCTAGTGAAGGCTTCGAGGTACCAGTTCCGGATGGTGGTATATGAAGGCGATTTGTCTTGTGGAGTTGGTTCTTGTTGTTTCCAAAGACTCGGATCAATGGTCCGCATGGGGTGGCGGTGTGACTTCCGAGGAGTAGAAACTGTCACGTGTAATGCACAGGGCAGTAGGGTCCAAAGGTGGCGGTGACCGTGATCCATGTGCCCCGACTTTCCTGGTCGGCCTTGGAGTGGGGAGTTAGCAACTACATTGCCTCGGGCTCAAATTGTATGTCGTTCCACTAGAGGCTGACCAGGCCAGAGTAGAGTAGGAATGCAGCAAACATGAGGATCAGGATGAGTCCTTTCTGGTACTTGGCCAGCCTGGTAGGCTCGAGAAAGGGGTGGGCCATGGCTTGCACTTGGTGAAGCGATAGGGGTTCCTTGTACCGGGTAAGGTGCGGGCCGTGGCGCTTGCCAAATTAACGTACTTGTAGTGTGAACGGGTCATCTGTGCGGGACGGCTCCCCAGCCATCTGATGTGTAAAGGCGGCGGCGGAGCATGTGAGCGGTATGGCTGATGTTATGGCTTGTTGATTCAAGGCATGAACAAGGTAGAGTGCCAAGGTAACATCCATTGTAGGCAAGTGACACAACTTGACCTTCATGTAGAATGAGTGAAATTTGAGCCAGTACGAGTCATATGTGCGGATGGAGGAAGGGGCGCGGACGTGTGCAATTACTTGTAGTACCTTATCTGCAACTTCGACAAAATGCGTGAAATGATACATTCGCGTAAAATCATTAGTATCATTATCATTTTTTGTACGTAAGATGCAATGCAATCATATGACTAGGAGGAAAGCCTTGTCTGGCGAATGCGAGGGAGTGTGTGCCAGGTCAGAGACATTGGCTGCTGCGGGTGAGGCGGATGTGTGTTGTGAATTCTGGTGCCCAAACGCCAGCTGATGGTTGCAGCAGTGGCCACCATGGAGCTTTAGGCCACTCGGGAATAACTAGGGTCAGCTTTGCACACGTGCATTGAGCGTGTCGCAAAGTGGTTGGGATGAGGTTGGGAGGTGGAAATGCGAAGCCACGTTCGTACTCCCAGCAGAATGAAAATGCATCAAATACTATGGTCGCTAGGTGGGGAATCTTGGAGCAAAACCTCTGCAGCTGAGCGTTGTGAACATTTGCAAAAATATCGATGGTATGTGGACCCAGTCGACGATCTAACAGCCGAAACCAAGGGGCTTGGAGGGAGTAGTCCCTATGGTCTTGGTTTTTTCAGAGCTCATCAGCTTGCGCGTTTAGCTCTCTCGGAATCCATTCGACGGCCAACATTCTCAGATGCTCGAGGCAGAGACGAATGATTGCTTGACATAGTAGCGTGAGCGTCGAGTGGCATGATCCCCCTTAGCGCAGAATGAATACCACCCCCTGATTGTACACACGAACGAGCACGTGGCGCTTGACGATGTGGGGGGTAAATGTCTGAAGTGCCCATAAGATATGTTCGAGCTTGCGACACGAGCTGGAGGGGGGCAGGAGTACCTCGGGCATGTGGGGCGCTGGCTTCAAGCGGCATCCTGGTTAGTTGTGTCAGGGTGGTGGCCCAACTGTGTGCGCTTGCATCGACGTGGATGACGACGTCGAGCTGGTGACTGAGATTGTACCATTAAAATGGTCGAAATATGGTAGCCATCGCTGCTAGAGACAGCTGTGTCATGGCATGCCAGGAGGTGGCATCGGCAATGAGTCGAAGGAGCTCGTGGCTGAAGGCGTGAGACTCGTAGAGGAGAGCATTCTAGTGGCTCGTGCGAGTGACCAGATGGAGAGTTGTCGTCCCTCTTGGCCTTGGGTGACGAGGGCTCGAGTGTCGCAAAAAGTTGTGTCCGGCGTTCTAGTCCAACGGAGAACGTGCCATCGGCAGTGTCGATCTCCAAGCCGAGGAAGGCTATACGGCGCGAGGGGTTGAGATGCGATTTCTTTGCATTGAAGACAAAGCCCGCCGCCCTCAAGTCCCGTACGACAGTTGCGCAAATCGAACGTGCGTGGAGATGGGAATTGCAAAGGAATAGCAAGTTGTCGACATACGAAACAACGTGCACGCCGCTCGCCTGCCATCTCTTTACCAGTTCCTTGATCAACTACGTGAAGACAAACGGGGTTGTGTGGCAAGCCCAAATCGAAGCGGGCGGAAGGAGTAATGATCTCCTTCGAACTAGAATCCCAGGAACTTCCAGCAGGATGGGTGGATCTCGACGTGGTTGTAGCCGGATTTTAGGTCGATGGAGAACATCCAATCGCCTGGAGGAATGAACTCGGCAACTCGGTTCAAGCCTTCGTACAAAAATTTTGGGATGTCGAGGTAGGTGTTGACTTTGCGCAAGTTGAGAATGAGGCGACACTTGTCATGCTGCTTGACCACGTTGAGTGGGCTGAGACACAGTAGTTCTTCCCTAGTAGGGACCATGACAGCGGCACTCGTGGTGATGAGGTCATTAATTATCTTACGAGTGAAATCCATGTGTGTGCAGACTCCAGCATGATTGGTGTCCTCGAATGCATGCGGCACGGTGTCCTTCCATGGTAACAAATATCCTTTCGCGATGATGGATAAAACGAAGCTGCTATCGCACGATGAGCACCACCAGTGTAGGGAATGACGCAGCCGACTGTGCATGACTGTCACGTCCTTGTCCGTGACGGCGTACTTGTAGGGGTCGTGTCCGTTGTGTGGCCATCCTTTTCCAATTTCTGCAGAACCAAGGGTCAGGTGATAGGGGTCGCATGGGTATCCAAACCGAGGGGCACCGTCCAATTTGCTCTGAGAGGGGATTACGTGTAGGGAGGCATGGCTCATATCCATGGCTTCTCACTTAATTGCCCATGGCTACATGGCCTCTATCATATATGCTCCTGTTCTATCCTATTCTTGTTCTCTCTCTCTCTCTCTCTCTCTCTCTCTCTCTCTCTCTCTCTCTCTCTCTCTCTCTCTCTCCCTCTCTCTCTCTCTCTCTCTCTCTCTCTCTCTCTCTCCCTCTCTCTCTCTCTCTCTCTCTATCTCTCTCTCTCTCTCTCTCTCTCTCTCTCTCTCTCTCTCTCTCTCTCTCTCTCTCTCTCTCTCCCTCTCTCTCTCTCTCCCCCTCCCTCTCTCTCTCTCCATCTCTCTCTCTCTCCTTCCCTCTCTCTCTCTCCCTCTCTCTCTCTCTCTCTCTATCTCTCTCTCTCTCTCTCTCTCTCTCTCTCTCTCTCTCTCTCTCTCTCTCTCCCCTCTATCTCTCTCTCTCTCTCGTTCTCTCTCTTCTCTCTTGAACCTTATACCTTTCTTTCTTTTTCCCTCTCTCTCTCTCTCTCTCTCTCTCTCTCTCTCTCTCTCTCTCTCTCTCTCTCTCTCCTTCTCTCTCTCCCTCTCTCTCCCTCTCTCTCTCCCTCTCTCTCTCTATCTCCCTCTCTCTCACTCTCGCTCTCTCTCTCACTCTCTCTCTCTCTCTCTCTCTCTCTCTCTCTCTCTCTCTCTCTCTCTCTCTCTCTCTCTCTCTCTCTCTCTCTCTCTCTCTCTCTTTCTTGCTCTTTTATGAGATATTTTCATGTTGGCTATTGCTTCTGCTTTTGTTGTTGGCCAAGTTGCACGCCACACCTTGGCCTCATGGCTATTGCCTTTTTTTTTTTTTTTTTTTTTTTTTTGGGTAGCGCTTTCTGTGGACCATGGCCTCCTCATGTGAGAGGGTGGTTGCACACCTTGGCCCTGTTTTCCCAGCCACCATGGTGGGACTCTCAATGTTTTTTTGTTTGTTTGTTTGTTTGTTATTTTTTAATTTAGACTCAATGTGCCATGGCAGCATATGAAGTTCTATACATGGAATTCCACAAAGCCATAGGCTCACGGCCTTCTCTGGTCCTAGGGCTACCCTACTCCACTAGGATCTTAGCCTTAATCTAGGCTTGCCATGCACCCCCAGTGGAGCCCAATATGCTCCTTGCATATTGGCAAAGGGCACCGCCCTACCACGCTACTCACATCACCGGTGTGGGGCCTTGTTCTCCACACCCGCTCATGGGGCAAGCGTTTGCCATGTGGCCCTGCTGGCCACAGCGGAAGCACACTCCCTTGAAGTGCGGCTACTGACACGTGAGAGGAGGGGAGCCTTTGAGTTCCATGTCACCGTTACGACTACCGGGACGACCGCCGCGGGATTAGGTGGCGCGCTCACTTGAGGGCAGCTACTTCAGCTACCGCAAGCTTGTATGAGCGGGACGTGAGCACACTCTTAGACTGGTAGAGCTGGAAGCGATCAGCGGCCTCGATCTCGTCCGACATGAGAAGCACTTGGAAATGCTTATGAATAAGCAATTCGATGTGTTTCATGTTGTTGAGCGCGTGGTCACATTGCCGTGCTGTAGCTAGTATTCAATATGTTGCAGGTGAACTTGAATAGCAATGAAGACTTCGGCTTGGTCGCGCACACCCTTGTGCACGAAGGTAGTTGCTGCACAAAGTGTTACACGCTTTCCAAAAATTACATTTTGTTAGACCCTTCGCATTGTTGGAGTGAACCCCATGTTTAGGGTGGCCAGGATCTAGAGTTGGTGGAACTAAGAGAAAAAAGTTAGCGGAAGACTTGACACTTTGCAAAGGAAATCTCTGAAAAAACCAGAATAATAGTAATGGATTAAACATGCATATTTATAGTCTAGGAAGTACCTATTTTGGATGTACATGTTCGTACTGTATCGCGGCTATTCGCGTGACATGACTAGTGACTGTTTGTGCAACTGAGAGTGGCGTGACCTTTTGGGTGGCTATACGCGTGAACTTACTGTTCGCATGTTGACTCACTGCTGCTGACGTCATCACGCGCATCCTTCCATATGAGGTATCGCGCTACTAGTACCGTCTACGTATTATAATAAGGAATGCATAAATGGTAACTCTGTCAAGTGTAATTCAACACTCCCCTTCATTCCTGAGTGTTTGTCTTTGGGTAAGTGTCGCCTCCAACCAGGTTGGAGCAATACTGAAATTTGCTACATGGGAGTTTCTTCATGAGAAAATCGGCTGCCATTTCTTCTGTAGGACCGTACTTCATGACGGCCTTCCCTTTGTCGACTTTGTCCTTGATGAAGAAGTATCGAAGGGCGATGTGTTTTGTCCTGTTGACGTAGTCGGGCTTGTTTGCAATCTTGATTGCTCTCTGGTTCTCGCATAGTAACTTGAAGTTACAAGTCGTTGCGATTTTCGCCTCTTGAAGTACAGTGACGGAAATCAAGGGGCTAATAAACACACTGCAGTAGATGGACAGTGTGGTTTAGGCATGATATGTTGTCATAACCTGACTACCACAGATTGCATAGTGTGCCTCTTGACCTCAGCTACTTAATACAGTTGGGTGTTGTAACTTTTATCAAATTTCTTGCATAGAGGACAATAATATTCTGCTGTCACTCGATGTGGACAATTACCGCCAGCATCGAATCTATATATATTTCGAGCCTACATTTCGCGATCTCGCAACCTGAGCTTCCGCTTTTGTTTTTCGACAACACAGCGGCAATGACGCCAAGCTCCCAGCAACGATGCGATTGCTTCTTTCAAGCCAGAAAGATAGGATAGGGTCAGGCTTTTCGACAAATTGCAAGAGCATTAGGGATAGTGAAGAGCTACGTACATAAATACGCACACGAAGCCGCCCATTGCACAAGCAGACTAGCGATCAGGCCGATTGTTCCTAGGTCTGGCCGACCGTGCATGCTCTCGGTACGTGATAGGCGCTCATTGGTTCAAGCAGTCACTTCTGGCCATGCAAAGACTAGCATAGAAGTAGCGTATCCCTTGTGTGCAAAGACTAGCATAGAAGCCACTTAGAATTAGAGCGTGGCATCAAGATCTGCCCTAGAACCGTTTGCAACGCCCTGAAATAGTTTGGTTTAGTAGCCGTCCAGAAACCGAAGAAGCCGTGGCTTTCTGCCCGTAACATCAAAGACCGCCTCGATTTCTCCAAGGCCCACCTTGACTGGACCTTGGAAGACTGGAAGCGGGTGATCTGGTCTGACGAGACCAAGATCAATCGCTTTTCCAGTGATGGCCGCACGTACGCGTGGATACATGATGAGGCAGCCCTGCAGGGTCATCACGTGCAGCAAACCGTCAAGCATGGGGGCGAGTCATTAATGTTATGGGGGTGCATGACATATGATGGTCCCGTATTTATGTGTAAGATTGATGGCCGCATGGACGGGGAGCTGTAGAGAAGCACACTACATGATGAGCTTGCACAAACCATCGATTTCTATGAACTAAACCCCTCAGATGTTATCTTCTAGCATGACAAAGACCCCAAGCTCTCTGAGCAGCAGTATTCTGTCCTGAAGTGGCCCTCTTCCTCCCCTGATCTCAACCCTATCAAGCACTTGTGGGCACACCTCAAAAGCGAGCTTGTCAAGTATGAGCATCCCCCCACAGGGATGCTCCAGACTTGGGAGCGGGTGCAAGAAACATGGGACGGATTGGGGCTGATGTGTGTAGGGGGCTAATTGACAGTATGCCGAGGAGGGTGAAGGCAGTGGTTAGGGCTAAGGTCAGTAGCGCTGCGGGCCTATACCCAAGTCTGACGAACGATTTGCACGTCAGTAGCGCTGCGGGCCTCCACCAGAGTTTCCTCTGGCTTCGCCCTGCTCAGGCATAGTTCACCATCTTTCGGGTCCCAACGCGACTACTCAACGCACCCCGGGCGCCGAGGCCCCCGGGGCGGTCCGTGGTGCGGGCAGCACGAGGCCGCCTTCTCACGGGTCGCTTTCACTGTCGCCATTGTGGTTTCCAACCCATTGGCTCGCAGCCGCGTTGGCCTCCTTGGTCCGTGTTTCAAGACGGGTCGCATCAGCCCGTTTCGCCAGCGCCGACCCGTGAGGGTCATCCTCGGTCTCCGCCGCGGTGGGAGCGAGCTCCTTTTCCCGCGGCATCGACCGGCGCTGCGTACCTCCGGGCCCCGCGCGAACGGGGCCCGCAGGTTTGCTTGGGCTCATGCGCTTATCCTCCTGACGATTTCAAGCACTTTTTACTCTCTTTCCAAAGTTCTTTTCATCTTTCCCTCGCGGTACTTGTTCGCTATCGGAAACCTGGCCGTATTTAGCCTTGGATGGAGCTTACCACCCATGTTGGGGCTGCACTCCCAAGCAACCCGACTCTTCGGATGCGTCTCGTGGAGTGACGGGTCGTCGCCCGACGGGGGTGTCACCCTCTCTGCCGCCACTTTCCAGTGGACTTAAGGCGGCGCCCGTCACAGAGAACGCTTCCTTTTCAGACTACAATTCGGAGGGCCGGGGGCCCTCGGATTTCAAGCCTGGGCTTTTCCTTGGTCGCTCGCCGCTACCAAAGGAATCACGGTTGTTTTCTTTTCCTCCGCTTAGTAATATGCTTAAATTCAGCGGGTGGTCTCGCCTGACTTGAAGCCATCGTTTGGGGTTTGCCCGGTTCCTCCCCGTCCGACCATTTTTGTACGAGCCCCGTCCGCCTCTCGCCCGTTCTTGTGCGCTACTTTGGAGGGGGAGACCGGGGGTTGCCACGCCCCCGGCTCCCGAACCTTTTCGCGACCGTCTCGGGAGAGAAAAGAGGGACCGAGTGACCGGCCCCCCCACCTGCTGGGAGGTCCGGACGGAGTCCGTTGGCCGGCTGGGTTCGCCGAGCCCAGCGGGGTCGCCGCCCGCCTCATCTCGCTCGTCCCACTCGCGTCCTCCCGGGTGGCGCCCGGGGATCTGCACTGGGGTCGAGAGGAGCGGAGACGGGCTAATGCGGCCCTGCGATTTCAACCGACTGCCCCCCATTTGTGCCCCGGAGCGCACGGGTTGCGACGGCCATCTCGTTTTCCCAGGTACGAGCGATTGTCTCGGAGAAAGGGGGGGGCCGGAGCCCACACCAACCCGAGCGCCCCTTGTCTGCCCCGCATTGCTTTCCCGTCCCGTTTCCCCTGCCGCACTTAGCTGCGTGCGGAGGGGTGGGTTCGGATGCGAGGTTCCACCTGGATGTGTGTGGCGTTCAAGCAGACGTGCCCTCGGCCGAGGCCTCGGGCGCAACATGCGTTCAAAGTTTCGATGATTCACGGAGTTTTGCAATTCGCATTACGTATCGCATTTCGCTGCGTTCTTCATCGAGCCAGGTTCCAAGATATCCATCGTCAGGAGTGGGGTCCCAGTTTTTATTAGGTGCCGGGGCCCGTGGGCGCCCCGCTCAAGGGAGGGTTTTTTGCGACCGGACGGCCAGTTCCGGTTGCGGAGAGGTTTGTATTCCGCCTCTGCCCGCAGCTCCTTGATGCACTGCGAGCGGGACGGTTGGGGGTAGCAAAAGGGTCCCTTTGCCATCACCGCGGGCGCCCCTTCCCGAGCCTTCCTAGAGGAATTCAGAAGGCCGGGCGAGCAAGACCCCGCAGTCACACCGCCGATGCCAAGAGAGACCGAGCACCGGTGGCGGGGGACGCTGGATTGGGAGGAGGAGCGTCGGAAGGAAAGGTGTTCAGAGGATACTCGAGGTCAGGCCCCGGGCTTCCCTCGCTTGCGCTTGGTAGGCCCGAGCTGTTTCCATCAGGGCTGGGGAGTTTTTTTTTTTGTCCGCATGGACGCCCGGTGCCGCCGGGTTGCTGCATTCCCTGGTGTCGAGGCTCGTCACGAACTGGAAGGAAAGAGCTTCGGGTGCCACCCCTCCGCCCAGGCCGACCGTGTCCGCGTCTTGCCTCGCTCCCGATCGCGGCTAGCCTTTCGGGTGGCGGCCCTAATAAGCTCGCTGCGTGAGAGGGGACGGCAACCTGACCTCCTGCGAGAGGAGGTTCGCCCGGTCCCCCCGAGTTGCGAGCAACCCGGAGGACCCGAGGGCGGTCGTTTCGTCACTCGTTCTTAGGGGCGTTTGCCGAGGTCTGGGATCAACCAGGGCGGTGCCCCATGCCTGTCGGGGTGCGCTTTCCGTTCAGCACCACAACGGATCCATCGGTGCTCGGACTTTTTTCGAGCCACCGCACCACGCCAGCTCGCCGATCGCTCGCCAA